AAATATGTTAGCTCTATCTCTGATATTGGGCGCTTTCTAATAATTACCGCGCATATAATATATAAATAATATATATATATATATATATAACTCATATATTATATGAGGATCTGACATTGACCAGATGGTTCAGTTATCAATTTTGTGCGATAATCTTGAGTTTCACTTAAGGCCCTCAAGTGGTTTGCAGAAAAGGTCGCAATGGAGCAAGAGTGAGGATTGTGGGATGAGGTCACTGTTAGATTGGCTGACGTTTTAGATCTTGTTCCCGCTTCTTGAAGACGATTGTGACTAGCAGATTTAAAACCGCTTACTCCACTAAAACACGTTGATCTCCACACTACCCGCTACATGGCTAAGCGCTCGAGGACGTTATGAGGTATATTGACAGTTGACAAGTATATATATATATATATCGAAATAAAAGTATAAAACTTAATATTACGAGACATATTAAAAACGGGTGAAGCAACCGGTTTCGCTCCCGCTCTTCAGGCTTCAACGGGAGATTTAAAATCAACACAGAAAAATGTACAATAAAAGGAAGTTGTGAAAAAAAAAAAAAAAAAACAATAGCAAAAGGAACATGACATGAGAATAAAACAACACGTTCCTACAAAAATTAGAAATCACACCCTGCCTTTAAATGAACTCGTCCCGAACACCTATGGTTCCGCCATATGCGAACACCTTAAAGAACAGAGATTATGTAGCCAAATTTAGTGTTGACTGTTTTACCGTGTTGTCCCGGTCTCACTCCTTATTTCATCTAAAGGTTCTGGAGGCACTTTACATCGGGTCCCGTAACCCTTCTTTGTGTAAACAACGTGAGTGTTTGTTGGGGCTCGCTGTCATTTGTCTCTAGTTCCTTTTGCTATTTTTTTTTTGGTGGTGGTGGTGGGGGGGGTTCACAATTTCCTTTTAATGTACATTTTTCTGTGTTGATTTTAAATCTCCCGTTGAAGCCTGAAGAGCGGGAGCGAAACCGGTTGCTTCACCCGTTTTTTTTAATATGTCTCGTAATATTAAGTTTTATACTTTTATTTCGATCGTTAAATTTTGTACCTACAAAAATATCTTTAAATATATATATATATATAATGACATTATTTGGCAATCCGTATGAAAAATTCCAAAGAGGATATAGAACCAGCGAGCTCAATGTAATAACAGAGCAAATAATAATGAAGTTAAAAGCGAAATATCGGTTTTAATGAAATAAAATATTACCATGCACCTTTGACAATCTCCGCATTCATAATTATATATATATATATATATATATATATATATATATATATATATATATATATATAAATGAAATGGATTAAGTTCAACAATTATTTTATATTTTTTTTCTGTTTATACGTTTTTATAGATATAGTTTATTTAAATAAATACATCGGTCAGTTTTTTCACTTAATGTATAAGCGGTTGGAGGCGGTGTGTAATATAACGTTAATAGAATATTGAATTTGTGTTACTATTTTATTATTCTATATTAAATTCTGTATTAATATGTCAAATATGTTCACCAACCACACTTACCGGTACATCACTTACCGTACCTCCAGCAGGAGGTACGGGAAGTTATGTATAGTAAATGTTGGGAGTGTTCTACTTGTTTACAACTTAGTGGTAGGTATTTGCCTTTTATACCCGCTATATAAGTCGACCCCAAGTTTTGAAAACATTTTTAGGCAGGAAAATTCGACATATGCGCCGCAATTTGTGGCGTATAGTCGTAGAACTCGCATGGAGCTTATACAATCGTTAAATTAAGAATGAGGATTCATCTGAAAGTCAAATAGGAAAACCGTGAAATTTGCACAGTTCGGGCTAATAATAATGATGATAATTTATAATAATAATAATAATAAGAAGAAGAAGAAGAAGAAGAAGAAGAAGAAATTCCCAGTTACACATGCATAAGCACACACACACGCATGCGCACTATGTGGCACTTTTGACAGCGGGGAATGAGAATGCCTGAAGAAGGAAGTGAGAGTACATTGGTACTGAAACAGACTTATCTTATCTCAAGAGACCGAGCAAGGGAGGAAAGTTTGTAAAGAAATCTGAGAAGTCTGTTGGCCCCCTTTTTTTTTTAATTCGCTAACAGCCAAATCAGACAAACACACACACACAGAGAATGAGAGAGAGAGAGAGATAGAGAAAGAGATAGAGAGAGAGAGAGAGAGAGAGATAGAGAGAGAGAGAGAGAGAGAGAGTGAAACACACACAAATATCGAAGAGAGGATTTCATTTATTTCAGAGACTGTACTCGACCGACACCAACTTGAACATTACGGCTATCATTACACTTGCCCGCGGTTATTTTTGTTAGAGAACGATTCGTTGTTGTCATTTTAACTCTTCCCTTCGGTTTATATATATATATATATATAATTAAAAACAACATTTTGTGTCTATTGATTTAATTGATCGACTTTTTCAAATTACAAATAATCCTTTTTAGATAAGGAGATTCCGTCAGAAATTGTCCAAAGTTCATTTCGGAAGAAATATGGTCCAAACTTTCGACTTTTTTATGGCATCATCAGGGTAGGTATATTGCAAAAGGTGGCTTTCGTAGAACTCACCAAAACACGGGATGGTCCCTGTCAGCCTTCTCGGATCATATTCTTCCGACTTGAGAAACAAATGAGGGAGAATGAAAAATAATAAAAACCTTTGGCACTGATCTTCTTAATTGGGATATTCTGCCTAACTTGAAAACAAAGACAATGTAAGTGAACATTTAACTTTATTTATACGTATCTCATACAGTTCGCAAAATTCACCGTCATAGCTTCCCATGGTTAAATCGAAATTACTTTCTCTCCGTTATTCAGCCAAGCTGTTGTTAAATAGTAGCGAATTTTAGCAGAGTGTTATAACTTATAGTGAACTGCCGTGGTGCATGTGTAGTAATTTTTAGTATTAAATTGGGTAATTGCACAAATATTAATGTCTCTTATGTTAAATAACTGGTCTATTACTAATTTTACATTTTCATTGATTTAAATTTAAAGTTGTTCTTGCTTTAGATTTAAATTATACTATACTACATTTAGTAATTTCTTCTAATTCACTTTTTGCTGTTTTTTTTAGTCTGGACGTTAATGTTATGGTCCTTGTACCACGGTGATGGTCCAAGGTAGAACCGATAAAGAAGAACTCGAACACGGATATGGAATAACACTGATATATTACAAGCAGGAATATATACAGAGAAGTAGAAAGTGTTAGTACGAACAATCAGGTTTAGTAGGGAGAACAATGTAGTCTCGACCAGTATCACTATTCCAATGTCTTGCAGTAATTGTCTGAACACGACTCTGTTTCGGACTGCCTCTGACTCGACTGACTGACTCGCTCGCTCTGACTGACTGATAGACTCCTGACGGACCTCACTCCAGACTTCAGACTGAACTCGATATTCAGCCACCCCCACCCCCACCCCCACTGGGACATCATGTGACACAAGGTCGGTTATTTATTGTGGGTTCTCTGAGCCCGTGGGCTCGGCCCCAAAATATGCCCATTGAACCCGTATAAACGGGCTCAGGGCTGGTTTACCTTCCCGAACGAGACTCCGCCCCTCGGCGTAGCCTCGTTCGGGTTCCTCCCTGCCCAAGGGCAGAGAGTTCAACCGATCAGCGGGTCAGCCGATCGCCCGACTTCGGGCTGAACTGTCTGCTTCCTCTTGAGAGGCAAGTATTTATTACGTATGGAATAGTCCATTATGTTATTATGGGTAAGGTCACAGTTACCTTATATCGTAAGTTTTTTTGTGATCTTTTAGTGTGATGAATGCTTCTGGTACAAATGACCATGATTTGGAACCTTCCATTTATTCTAAGTTTTCCTTGAATAATGTGTTGCGATCTTTGTGTCTTTGCTTGTGTATGTTTCTAGCTTATCACCCGGGGTGAAGAGGTTAGGAGATTTTTTTATCAAGTTTATGGCCTCTTTTGGATTTATTTGAAGTCCGTCTAGAATGTAATAGAATTTTAAATTAAGTATATTCGTTAGTTCCTTCCTAAAATAACCTTTTCTTTATTTACTTTACGTAGTTTTCTTTTCCTGATTTAATAAGAAGTATAATTTCCATCTGATTTTTTAAAAAATATATTTAATTTAGTGTATCCAGGGGTGGGGAATGTCTTTTACGGAGTAGAAGAATTCGAATTTTTCCGTAAATGATTGAAATATATCTATAGTATTCTAGTGATTTCTAGGAACTGAGTATATATATATATATATATATATATATATATATATATATGTATATATATATATAGAGAGAGAGAGAGAGAGAGAGATAAAAGACTGAGATATATAAATCTGAAGAGACTGCGATAGATAGATAGATAGATAGATAGATAGATAGGAAGAGACAAAATGGATAGATGTGAACAGACCGATTACACTTTTTAGTCATGTGTACTAATATATATATATATATATATATATATATGTGTGTGTGTGTGTGTGTGTGTGTGTTTTTCTCTATCAATGTATCTATTTATCAATGTACTCAAGATGAGGACAATAGTGCGAATAATGTAAATAGTGTACATAATACCTCATCTCAGAAATATAGACAGATACTGAAAGGCCGAAACGTTGTGATAAACATGACGACAAAGATGAGGACAATAGTCCGAATAATGTAAATAGTGTATATAAAAAATTGCATATATATTTATATTTATATGCATACACATTTCACACAGACACACACAGACACGCACGCACACACACGCACACACACACACACACACATACATATATATATATATATATATATAATGCCTAGGCAAAGCGGAGTACTAGATGGAATAATGATTGTTTAAAGCAGAAAACTGTCAGTCAAGCAGATGTTACTTAATTGAGACTACATTGTTTATTTCTGTAAATGCCCTTATCAGAATTGTCGAAATCTTATAACACTAAAGACGAAGAGATTTTCCGTTTGTTCATTGTTTGCCATTATGTTCATATCTATCTATCTATCTATCGTTGTTCATATGTATCATATCAAAAAAATGGTGATGACGTCAGACTAAATCCAAACTCCTCATGCTAGATAGGTAGAAGAAAATTAAAATGAATGGGAAAAATAGCGCCTTCTAAAACGAGTGAGATGTAATATATTCTCCCTGTTATTTCAGAAATGTTATTCATTCATTCATTTTTAGGGCTTATCAACCTTTTTCAGTTTATTTAAAGTTAAATCATTTAATTATACAAGTCTTACTAATTAGCCCATAGCTTGGGGGAAAAGGCGGATTCATACCTTTGCCAAAGTTATTAGCACGTAAGTGGATATAACGAACAAAACAGGAACTGGAACTCGGCTCTACGATTAACAATTCCGAGCCATTATCCATTATGTCACACGCACATTCATGCTGGTATTCCAAAACGTTCACCCAGCTAGGTACTGAAACAGGTTCGACGTTACTTAACTTTGGCGATTGTACGGGAACCCGTATTTCAATGTGATGCGGCCGTAAGCCACAACCGAGATTAATTACCAGGGAAACGAAATAAAGTCATAGCCACGATAAAAGGCATCACCTGATGTCTTCATCCTAACTGACAGCTATGTGAATAAGATAATAAGATAATGTTCGTACAACGTCAAGATTAAAATAAATTAAATAAAGATTATAAGAAATCCGCGTCCAATTGAACAAATAAAATAAAATAAAATAAATGAAAATTTAAAAAAAAAAATAAAGCTCTTTCAAAATCTAGAAATTTAATTTTTTTATTCTTTTGAGATTCGCTTATTAAATTCAAAATCATATTCAAAATATTAAAATCTAACGTTATAATCAATACCATGTGGTACGAATTTATAAAACTTTCAAATTTATTAGAATCCAAAAAGCAGAATTAATATTTACTAGAAATCTTGTCAGATAGACATTAATTTAATCAAAATGTTTATGAAAAATTTAGTTTATGAAAAATTAATATTTACTAAAATCAGATAACTCTTATAAAAAAAAACTCTCTCTATCTCCATATATATATATATATATATATATATATATATATATATATATTGTTCGTCTATTGTTCTCTGTTCTTAATAATGTTTTCTTTTTAGCCTATTCTTTCGCTTAAGTGTGTGTTTGTGTGTGTGTTTGTGCTATTGCTAAATACAAAACAAAAAAGTCAATACTAAACAAAACAATAAGCTAGAACCTGGAGGTGGAGTTTACTCAATCACCTGTAACAATTGTCACCAAAAGTATATAGGAGAGACCTCAAGGAATCTAAATAACAGATTATATCAACACAAAAGGGATATTTTAGAAAAAAATAGTACGTTAAATGCGTTGTTTGCCCACCGTAACGCGACTGACCACAATTTTGATATAAAAATGCTACTCTGATCAAAGGAGAAAATTATTCACTATGGCGTAAAATGTCTAGAGACTGCCTTACTAGTACGGTCATCTACAGTTATTTTGCCTCCTGGCCCTTACAACATTTCACCATTCCTGGAAGATCTAATATCACAGTGAAGAATACCAACTGACAAAAGTGATGGAAAGAAAACGAATAAGACACTAAGTGAATTTAGAAACATCAAAAGAAAATTCTAAAATTCCCAGCACCTCTCGTTCGTTCGCATGTGCACTGGTACCAACATAAGAAATTTAGTCCGATGAAATTCTGATGGACAAAACGTGTCACAAATAAACATTTTCCACTTTGTCGTACAATTTCCCCAATATTGTTCTAGATGTAAAAATATATATATAACTTTCTCATATATATATATATATATATATATATATATATATATATATATATATATTCAGTTGGATTCAATCCAACTAAATATATTAGCTCTATCACTGATATTAAGCATTTTCCAATAAGTACCGAGCATATTTAATATATAAATAATATATCTAAAAAATTTCTCTATATTTCTGAAATGAGGTATTATGTATACTATTTACATTCGGACAATTTTCCTCATCTTTGTTGCCATATTTATCACAACGTTTCGGCCGATGTACGCTCCGGCCTCCTTCAGTTACGTGGGAAAGTATCTGTTTCTGAGATGAGGTATTATATACACTATTTACAGTATTCGGTATTATTGTCCTCATCTTTGTCGCCATATTTATTACAACGTTTCGGCAGTTGTACGCTCCGCCTTCTTCAGGTGGTTGGAATATCGAACTTTATTTCGCTCACTAGACTGTTCTAGTTTCACGTGCCATGTTTAATTGATGTCAGTTATCAGTTATCTCCTGTTAATTCCCCTCTGAAAGTTCTCCACTGCCTTAACCGGGTATTGAACTCACACTCTTTGGGTCCTGTCACTGGATATAACCAACGCCTTTATCCACTGTGCCATGTGTAAATAGTGTACGTTTTTCCCAATAATAATTGTATGAAAAAGAATGTAACAACCTCTGCCGGATTTCGAACTCAGCTCGCCAATATCGCTCCAAACAATACACCAACTGCACATCCATCCATTTGTTTACTATGGCTATACGTAATCAATAAATATCTAGAAAACAATAAATGGTTGCGTTTCATAGTTACTGGTGATGTGAAAAAATCCTTTCATTTAAAATGCTATTATGGGATGTACAGGTTAACAAGACAACATAAATTAAGTAAGAAACAAACAAATAAAAAACAACAACAGATTTTATTACATCG